CGTCCGTATACCATCCGTATACCATGGCAGGATCCCAGCCGTATACCTCCGTATACCAGCCGTATACCATCCGTATACCACCACGCCCCCCGTATACCACCGTATACCGTCCGTATACGACCCGTATACCACACATCCCCGCCCACCCTCCCCTTGTCTTCAAAATTTCCAGGTGTTGTTTTTCAGTTTTCCATTGTCCGTTGAGCTCTTTTCAAATACTCGAGTCAAGCAGGAAGGCAGCATGGCGCAGTTTAAGTTGTGTGCGCAGGCCACAGCAGTGAAGGGGGCCTTGTGTGGTGGAGTTTGGCGTATGTGTGGCCCTGAGTGTGCCAAGAAGGTCGAAAACCTCTTGTCCGAGCACAGCAGCAAGTACGACCCAACGCGGGAGGAGCACGAAGTGATCCTATCTTTTGAGCAAAACAAGTCTTTCAAGTTTTTGGTGAAGAAAGTGGTGGAGGACCAGGATCGCAAAGGGGTTGTTCTTCAGTGCAAGAACCTGCCGAAGTTCTGGGTGGTGGTGCAAGCGCTCTACAAGCATGAGTTCATCATTGAGGCTGAACAGACCAAGGACAAGAAGAAACTTAAGATGTTTATCCTTGATCGTGATGGGGAGGAGGTTGTGAAACCGTATATGGAGACCAAATCCCTTTCCATGAGTGAATTGAAGTCGAATGTCGTGAAGAAGATTCGACACAGCTTTACAAATGCACCTCGGCTTTATACAGGTGTTGGAATGTGAAGTGATTCTATATAGGTGAAAGAAATCCTGTCGCTTAAGTGGGTGAAATGTGAGGCCTTTGTTTGTTATGCGGCCTTCTCTCAAACAGGGGGCTTTGCCGAAGACAGTCATTTTTTTGCTAAGGTTGAGCTTGAACAATGTGGACTGGTGATTCGCGGAGAGGCGATGGTCAAGACGCACCCCACAACTACACTCCTCGATGTCCTGACAGTCAAGAAGGCACACCTCAAACCTTGCTTGAAGCATGGCAAGATGATCCCGGAACCAACCTTCTTTTGAAGCAGCCAGCACATGGCAGCAAGCAGCTGAAACGCGCTGACAAGGTTTTTGACACAGTTTGAGCTTAGGATATGAGCTCGGGTGAAAAATGATTTTTGACGTCTGTCGCATTCGAGTTTGCTTTGAAGGAAACCCAAAACAGTACAAATCTGCGGTCCTCACCGCTCTAGACAAACAGAGGAAAACCAAAACAGTACAAATCTGCGGTCCTCACCGCTATCGAGAAACAGGTTCTTGTGAGGTTAGATGTGCTTCCAAGAGCGCGTTGACAGATATGTGCGTTTTGGTGCGCTTGATCTGTTAATATATGCATTGCTCTCGATCTAATCCTGTTGATTCGTGGCTTTGAAGAAATTGATTTTAAGCATGCCGAACTGCTACTGAACTAGGGACTCTTTTGGTTCTTGCTGTCTGCAATAGGAAAGCTTGCGGCAAGATGAAACAAATGAATATGTCTGCTTGCTTGTTGGCAGGTTCAATCCCAGCAGCTCAAAAAGAAACCATATGGCAAACAGAAAAACACACGGCATCAACACAGCACAATATACACATGGCATCAATACAGCACAATATAGCGCATGGCAAACATATAAGCAGTCCCATTTTGGCACGCAGTGTACCAACAAACACTATCACTATCACCATCACTGCAGCAGCATAATGTCTGCGCCGCCCTCCCCTGTTTCGCCAGATGAACCTGCAGCAGAAGTTCCCCCGTGGCGCCTTGCGACTCCCGCTTTTGTGGATGTCCTGGCCGCAGCCATAGCACGTTCAACAGCAGAGCCTGAGCAGGCCCCCGGCCCAACCTTGCAAGCAAAAGGCCTTTCACCTGGAACACCCAGTGTTTTGCCTCAGTACGCTCCTCAGCAGGAACCTCAGCAAGGGCTTCCTCCACAGCCTGGCTTTGCCCCTGAACACCTACCTCAGTTTCGACCCACGCCTTCGCCTCAAGTTCATCTACCTCAAGACAGAGGACCCAGCATCTAGAAGTAACCCCAAACCAAAAGATGTTTGGTTGACAAAAAGAGTCACTGTTTTCAGGAAGCAGCGATATGAATGATTGTTTTGCCCGTTTCTCGAGAGGAACAAGCGCTATGCCTGCTGGCTCTGCGCAACCTTCTGCTAGCGTTGCTGGCTCTATGCAGCCTCCTCCTGGACTGACTCCTCAACAAGATGATGGCAATGTCAATGACTGGTGGCAGCATGACTGGCACTGGCAAGACCCAGCACAATGGCAAGCAGCACAGGGCTACAGGCGGCGCAGCAAGAGGGAGCAGTGGGAACGGGAGCATGGTGGCCGCAAGAAGAAGAGAGGAGGTTTCCATGCTGACTGGTATGACTGGTACTACAACCCGAAGAACTGGTGAGCTCTGTGGAAAAAGATTTGCAGCCTATGTAGAACCTGCGGTCATTACCGCCTGCGGTCATTACCGCCTGCGGTTATTACCGCGTGTATGGTATTTCCTCCCAAAACAAGAATCACCACAAACACTTTGGGTGCCCCCCCAAGTGTTATTTAGGTAAACCTTTTGACAACCATGGGGGTAGGTGGCTCATTAGCAATGGGCTGTGAATTCACAGGCCGGGGAGGGGAGGGGACAGATTGTGATTTTCAAGCGCTGGTTCAAGATCAAGAATCCTGGGAGTCATTAATCAAAAACATGGCTTGGTATAATTTCAACACCCAACAAACCTTTCCTTTGAACGTTTAAATGTTTCAACCCCCAACACACCTTTCCTTTGAACATTTAAATGTCATTGCATGAAACGAAAGCATGGCAGCCTGGGGAATGCTTTTCGCTCTTGTGCCGGAACTCCCGGACTCTGCGACGAAGCCTTGAGGCGAGTTCTAGCTAAACTGGAAGGGCTGGACAAGCCAACTCATGTTTGTCGTCACCTCGAGCAACGCTTTCCAGAAGTCCTTCCCTTGATTCAACAACACTCTTTGCCAGCAGAAGGCGGTGAAGACTTCAAAGTTTGGACGACCCGTCTATCTCTCGCTGTTGAGCATAGGTGCCAACAGTCGTCGAATTATCACTCTGCCCTTCGCAGGATAGCTGCCAATGGGCCGACCATTGGAGTGGTTTACCTTGACGAAGTCGTGCCAGGCAATGTTCTACGACCCGACAACCGACGACGCAGCTATTGCCTGTACTTTTCTTTTTTGCATCCATCCATGCTTAGATCCGAACTGGGTTGGATCCCAGTTGCAGTGCGCAGGAGCACAATTACTGCCAGCCTCAAAGGCAAAGTTGCTGGGCTGGTCAGTCATGTCATTCGGTGCATGGCAGAAGACTTCACAGGCTTTGCTGTTGATAAGAGCAACCCCTTCCTCGTGGTGGTGCAATGCTTGTACATGGTGGCAGACGAGGCTGCCATCAAGGCAGCCGCAGGCTCGAAGGGTGCCAGTGGCCTTCGACCATGCTTGAGGTGTAACGCTGTGTATGGCCAGCAAACCAACCTGCGAGGTTTCCCATCAATTTCGGAAGACGACTACCGCCGCTTTGTCATCCAGTCAGACCAGGATGTGAAGGACACTATGACTTTCCTTCAGCAGCACGCCGACCGCCCAACGAGACTCAAAGAGTTTGAGATACTTTCCTGCAAATCAAGTTTTTTGAATAATTTGTTGTCGCGGCTCTTGGTTTCCCGTAGTCCACCTTGTGTATATGTACTGCGCAATGCTTTTTGATTGACTTCCGGCAAACCTTGTCAGGAAGTTGAGTGGCTGGCATCTAGTGCCAGAAAGCTTTGTCATGGACGCTACTTGCAAGAAATTCTTGCAACCCAGCCGAGTCCAGTACGATGCCATGCACATCTATTTTTCAAACGGGATTGTGGGTCAGGAATTGGGCCTGATTTTCTCAGCAGCCATGGATGCAGGGTTGAACCAAGAGGCCCTGGGCAATTTCTTGGCCCTTCCATGGGCCGCGCCCCAATCCAAAAAAATCGCTGCTTTTCAACTTCGAGAACTTGCCAAGCTATTGAAAAGGGGCTCTGACTTCAAAGGTGACGCAAGTCAAACGCTTCACATGTTGCCATTGATGGCGTTCTTTTCTTCAGAGGTGCTCAGTGGCATAGAGGCATTGAGCCTTCAATGTGCATCACTTGAAAAGTTGAATTTGGTGTGCCTCCAGATCCAGGCCTCCAAGCAGAATGCCAAGGCAGCAAATGGTCTGAGCGATGCGCAACGTTCCCATTTCCAAGCTTTTAAAGCAGCATACGCAAGCGAAGCTGCCAGGCCCAAACATCATTACGCTTTCCACTTGGAAGCTCAGGTTGCTGCATCGGCTTGCATGCTGGACTGTTTCACTTGCGAACGGAAAAACAAGAAATTCATTTCCATTGCCGAGAACATTGTGAAGTTGCAAGACTTCGAAAAATCAGTCTTGCTCCGGTGGCTTGAGGCTGATGCGGAACAATGCCTTCGGTTGACAGAGGACATGCCCGATCACGAAGTTTTGTCAAGCCCATCTGCACTCCTCCCTCCTGATGTGCTGGGGGAACATGTCACCATCAGCAAGTGCATGTATTGCCCATGGGGAACCATTTCAGCTGGCGATTTCTTTTTGGAGGGGCAGGACGCCGCTTACAAGATCTTGGCGTGCATGCTTCGCGATGGCAGTGGTGAGGTCTTGGCTTTACAACACGACCGTTTACTGAGTCGCGGCCCCGAGATGTCTTGGTCGAAGTGGAGCAATGGGAACCGTGCAGTCTTGATTCCTGTCGAGATTGTCATGCACATGGCCGCTGTCTCTTTCGCATGCGCAGACGATGGCCAAATCTACCTTCTCCGATAGCGCGTGGCAGAAACAATGAGATGCCTCTACGGGGTTCTGTTGTTACATGAAAGTGCGGTGTCCACCGCCATGGTTTATTGTAACATGAAAGTGCGGTGTTCACCGCTTTGCACTGAGCAGGTTGGTCTCAGCGAGCGGCAACTATATTGAAAATAGGTAATTTTTATTGGGTTTTCAAAAAAACATTGAAGGGTTTTCAAAAAAAAATTGAAGTTATTGGAAGTTATTTCGAACTTATTTCAAAGTTATTTTGGTTGTTTTCTTAAGTTCTATAACTTCCGAATAAGTTAGTTGCAAGTGCCACAACTCAAAAGGCACACCCAAGTGGTGTGCACAGAATGCCAGAACGTACCCACTTGGCCCACAGAAAGGAGCCCTCTGTGTTAATTGCATTGGTCAGGATCCAGGCGCATTTGTTGAACTCCCACCAGAAGCAATCTCTTTCTTGCGTCACCATGCGCCAATGGGCATGAAACGACTTGCTCCTCCCACGCCAATCATGTCCAGAGTTCACACAACTGACGGTCCCCTCAGTGATGCAGCTATTGCGCCTTGTGTCATCTGCCAGGGAGGAGCCAATACGATTGATCATTGGTTATCCTATTGCCCTGTAGTCCACATCGCTTGGGCTGCCTTGCACAAAGCTAACCCGCCTCCTATCAACTGGCGTCAGACACCGACCAAACATGCAGGGATTGCGCTAACGCACTTATTGTTCCATTTCCGCAGGATTGTTACTGAATATGGGGGGCTCCGACCTAATATCACATGTGTCAAGGTGAAACCTATCCCTGCACACGCCTTGGACTTGTGGCAACGTACGTACCAATCGCTCCCAGCCACCCAGCTTGCCTGGTTTAAAGCACCGCCAATGCAGGCTGATCTCCATTGTACTTCCACCTCTTTCATCCGTGTCCAACGCTTCCCGCAAACGCAGCTGGAATCCGCCTTGCTCCCTGACAAAGGCCTCAGTACAACCCAGGCCTTCCATAAAGGTGAAACGATAGCCACCTTTGCTACTGCAGATGCAAGGTTGCGTTTGTTGCTCACACAATACATCAAGTTGCCATTTCCGTCAGCCACAGCGACCCTACTCCCCTATACCTGCCAATGCGGATCTACTCACCTTAAGCTTTGTGCTTCGGTCGATGTCCTGGAAAATGCGGTGCTACTAATAGGGGAAGCAGCCCAGTGGAAAGGATGTCTTGTTCTGCACATAAGAAAACGAGAACAGGGGGAGCAGGGGTTAGTCTTCTACAAGTTACCCAAGACTCTACGACGCTTGTACGGTGGAAGTCAATACCCTTGCTTGATTGCCCGGATAATGTTATTGCAGAGGCACAGGCTTGTCTGCATGCAGTGCAATTAGCCACTGACTTCCACCATGAATGCCTCAACAAAGGAATTGCACAGGATGGCGTTGTCCTTCAGGGCGACATCCTACCCCTCCTCAATTACTTACAGGGTCGTGGCCGTATCAAACGACTCGCAGTCGTCAAAATTTTGGAAGAGTGCCAGCTACTGCTTGCGAGAGCCCCGTTCATTTTCCGGCTAGTTTACCTGCCAAGAGAATGTAACAAACTCGCTGACCATTTCGCGGGCTCTGCTAGTGCAGTCGCAAAACGAGCTGCTGACTCCCCACTGCATGCTGCCAGTCATCGGGCACCTCCTCCTTATCACCTCGCGCAAAAGCTTGGCTTTATTGTTGATCATGGGGCTCTGCACACATCTCCGGCTTTTGCGCTAATTGAATGCCCAGCCCCGGCTCCGCCGCAACTTGCCAAAATACTACAAAGTACAGCCCACAGTCGACAATATGTACAAGATAATCTTGCTACTGCAGGGAACCAACATCGATCCCTCACCGTAGGGTACAAGACTTCTTCTGCTGATGGGAAAGGCCGTTTCTATGCTGTCGGTGCTGCCGCGCAACGGCTACCTCGCAGAGTAAGGCTGTTACTTTTTGGAGAAGACCACTATGAAATTGATATCAGTGGTGCGCATTATGAACTCACTCGGAGATGCTGTGTCACCGCGGGTGTCCATCTTACCTTGCCCCCTGTGCAAGCTGCACGAGACTGGCTACATGAGCAGTTCGGCGTGTCAGTCACAGATGAAGCTTCTGCCATACACGTCGCATTGGTAAAAACGTGGCCCTTGGTCATCATAAATAGTGGCACACCCCAAGAAGCTGTCTCTTATCTCCAGCGCCAACTTCCGCACCTTGGTAACCAGCAACTTGTACAAGCAACGCGCTTTGCATATGAACTACATGCGGCCAGCCGTTTTGTCATGGATAACCCACCCTCCTGGGGCATAGTTAGAACCAGCGAACGGACCCGGGCGGACCCTTACCGCTTTTTTGAACAGCTCGAACAGCAGTTAACGTGGGCGGCCTACAGCTTCTTGCAACCACTCCTTGGGTTCCGCTCGGTCATCTGGTTACATGATGGATTTTGGGTCAGTCCCGGCCCCACGGAAGCACACCTGACCTCCCTCCATCGTTTCTTGCGCCAACGATATTGCTTCTCACTGGATGACCCGCCGCTCTTTAGGGGCGAATTACTTTGTGCCAAAAGGAATGAGCTTCTCGTAGAGCTTGACGGCGACAACACTTTCTCTTCTGGTGTCTTTGGTGGAGTTGTTGGGATGGTATCTCTGCCCCCCTACCCAGTTGTAAGACCAAAACGCACGTATCAAGGAGCCAGCAACCAAGATCAAGTTTCTCTAGAAGAGCGGTTAACCAAGAGGGCGAGGGTAGCCCCAGGTGCTAAGAAGCGTCGCCTGACATAAGCAAGTGCCGTTAGTCCAGCATGGACAGTGCTGTGTTCGCGAAACATGGTTTACCCATCTTGGGATAATCTCTACACACATATGCACTCAGTTATAAGGCTGTTTCTCCAGGTAGTCCGTTGGACATCCCAGACGAGCAACTTCTTGGGTAATACGCACCCGCTGCCTTGCCCTCTGGCTCAAACCCCCTGCAAGGGTGCATGGCTAGCCACTATTGCTGTTCGGCATGATGGCAGACGATTGCTCTCTGAACGAGGCAACCTGTTTTCTTTTTTTTTTGCACGAGTGGAGGCGCTGTGTGTGCAGGTCATGCACAAGTCACCTTAGTCGAGTTAAGAAGGAGTTACTAGACAGGTTGCACATAACACGAAAGGACCAAAGCAACCCAACACCCAACAAAAAACAACACAACAAAACCCAAACCGAGTGCAACCTGTAGCGCAGCTCCGAGAGCCAAGAAGGCATGAAGAAGGTGAGACAGGGGCGATGAATTCCGCAAAACGCTCAGTACTTCTTGTTCTTCATGAAGCGGAGCAAGGTGCAATCGAATCAGGGGCATAAGAGCCCAGCGAGCAAACGGTTGCATGTGCTGTTGCAAGTACTGATTAGCCATTTATCACCCTGTGAGTGCCGTAGCACCGCCAAAAAGACAAGGATGAAAAAGATGGGAAGGATGGCACAGTCCAAAATTGCAGCGTTGCTACTGTGCTCTTACCACCAGTGAAAGTGTGCATCAAATAGGAACGAATTGTTAGTGAGGGAATGGCCCTTTGACCAGGGTCCATTCGTCACGATTTGCTTTTTTGCCAGCAGGTAGCCACGAATGCGGAACCAAGGAGGTGCCGTCAAGGGAAAACCACGGTCACTCAGCTCGGTATTTCCAAAAAGCCGAGGATGAAGGACAGTGCGAGGTCACCGAAATGGTTCAAAAGAGGTGGCAAGGGAGAGGTGGCTCCCATTCCTCCCCCAGAGGGGGAGGATCAATCAGAGCATGTCAGGCAAGTCAAGCACACAGGGCTTGATATAGAGCGTGCAGCGTGACATGCTCCAGGTGTGGGCAGTCATCCTGGATAATTACTGCACCTTGTGTTGCTTTTCTTCTTCTATCAGCCTCTTTCCACCGCGGCCATCAGGAGCGGCCAAAACATGCATGTGCCCCATGAACTACGATGCTAAGTTAGGGGGTGAAACAGGGTGAGACGCCGTTTTCCTAATTCTGTACACTATACTCATCCAGAACCACTACACGGGTAGCAGGCTGGGACTGGCTAACTACTCAGTGTCGACGAGGCAGCTAGCACTGTGTCATTGGCTGGTACGTACAGGACCAGCACACGGGTGTTGGTCAGCTGCCTACTTTGCTTATGTAGTCATGATTGATAAACCGAAGTGCGCTTGCAGCTTTCAAAAAGACATCACGAGATGTGATTGGGATATGATTGGGGTCTAGCCAGCACACGGGCGCAAGCAGTCACGCAAGACATCCGTGAGCACATCGACACCAGCCCTTAATCGAGGGCAGCAAAAGAGTCATCTGCCCATTGATCCTCGACTTCTTGAGTGCGTGGCAACCATCGAACCCAATTCGGCATATCTAAGTTGTCACAGCGAAGAAAAGCATTTCCTCGAGAGTAGGTGCCCCGCCAGGTCACACTTTGGCCATTTCTCTGAGAGCGACAGAGCTGTGTGCACCCCGCAAAAGCTCGTCGTGCAATATAGAGCAATGTGGGAGGCACGTGCACCTCTGTTAGGGAGGCACATTTGAGGAAGGCTTCCTGTCGAATCATCCTCAGTGCTCCAGGGAGTTTTAATGTTTGCAAGTGTTTGCAGTGTGCAAAGGTACCTCCCATGATTTCTATGATTTCAGTTCGTGAGAGATCTACTAATTGCAGCTGCATACACCGTTCGCAGGCACTCGGCCCCATCCAATTAAACTCTGGAGGTAGGGTCAATGCGGTTAAGCCGGCTTCCATGAAGCAGCATTCCGGCAAACATCGCGTCCGGCCGTTCGGCTGGGGCTCCGTCAGCTCGAAATTGATTTGACGCAGCACTGTACATTTACGAAAGGCACGGGGCATGAGCTCTGCTTGTGGAGCGAGCTGATTGGTGGCATCATGAGAAGTCCCAATCTGCAGAAGCGCACAGCACTCTTCAAAGACCTGTGCTCCAAACTGCTTGCATCCTGGTGCAATGACTTTGCGCAATGC